TATTTTAAGCTAAGTCTGTCCCCTTTGCATGATCACTCCCCTCCTGAAGTTTAGTGAGCTGCAATACTGAGAAAACTCCAGGAAATTCCTGCGATATAGGTCAGGATATCAATTCTACCCTTCCTAGATTACTGATTTTCAAACATTTGTCCAATGTGCAGTTTCTTTTCTGAATCTCAGAACTATAATTAGTAAAACTTATTGGTAAAGTCTGAAAGTGCCAACTATACTTCTGTCATCATTCTGAATTTAGCTTTGGCAGACTGGAAACAAAACTGCTTGCTCTATAGCTGGAAGATAACCAGTTTGTTTCAGTTGCACAGAAACAGTAATTAACAGGCTTTAAAACATGCCCTTTTGGTGATACAAAGTTGCCTGAAAGCCTTGATAACTTCTGTCTTCTTCCAGTCTCCCCCAACAGTTCTCCACAGCACATTTTTAAAAGCCAGATTCTCAGATATCTATTCTCTGCCAGCTCACAAAGGAGAACAAGAATAACAGAGGAAAAACACAAGAGGAAAACAGGCTGTGACACTAGCTCTGGGTTTTGCTGCCTTGTTGCCTGTTGATGACTGTGGAAAGCACACCTGTAGACAAGGAAAAAGATAATTTAATAAACTCTGATGTAGCTGTAACGTTCATGGTGGCTCATCTTCACCCAGAACCATCTCAGGATTCTGAGATTTGCTGGAGACCAGTTTGAGCTCCTCCACTCCAGTTCTCCTAGGCTTCACCCTCACAGTCAGACCTGTCCTTCCAACAAAGCCCTGCTGAAGTAAAGAGGTCTTTAAGAGCACAGCAGGATCCATTCACTGAGATTAAACTGTATAGTCAGAGCTTCTGAATGCACGCTTTCCAGGAAAAGTACCGCAGCTCCATACATTATCTTACATGATCACGTCTCCAATCTCATCAAGGTCTCCGGGTCCTCTAACAGGTAATTCAGCAAGGGATGTCTTAAGTAAGCATACCTAAACAACACTCCTTGAAGTAAGAGCCTTACAATTCTAACAGGTTGCTGCCTACATGCTATGAAGCAGTATCAATAATACATGCAACTGCTAACAATAAAACATAGATAAAGGAGGAACTGATGTACCAGGATGATAAACATAGCTATTGCAGAGGATAAGGCATTCTCCTCTGGAGTTCAGTTGTGTTTGTGTTTATTCCTGCAGTTAGCGACTAGATAAGAGCAACAATAATGCAGCAGTGGGAGAGGAACCAGACACCTCAGTCCGGAGCTGTTCAGCTGAGGGGTGAGAAACAAGTCTTTTCAGGCATCAGACACTTCTCTTTCAGGCCTGGACCAAGCCGCTGAGTACAGGGTGAACACTGTTTTGGCCAGGACATCAGGACGAGCACGTGCCAGGCACCCACAGCAACATAATTAACAAAGGGTTTTAGATCGGGACTTCAAACCAGTTGCCAACTTGTTTTAGAGAACTGTATCCCAAAAGCCCATTTTCATGAAAATGTATCTTCAAAATAACAAACAGCATCAGCAGTTTTAAGCTCTGCGCTACAAAATAATTCTGTAAGCCAGAAGTGTCATTAGCTTGTCAGTTACTAAGAAGGCAGCCCATTTCTGATCGCTTTTAACCAAGCTAATCTCCGCCTGAAAGCTTCAGAAATCTAAATAACTCTCGTTTCACAGAAGTTTCATTTCATTCTCATGCTGAAAATAATATACATAAACCAAGTTCATGTCTACACATTTGCACAACTTTATAATAAAAGTTGTGTTTATATTCTTAACATCTGTTGACATACACAGGCTTTGTAAACCTGGCATCGATTTTAAAGCCACAGAATTTTCCATGCATCATGAACATTATCTGTGAGAAGCAATAAAAAATGCAATGAATACATTAATCATACCAATATCATCTGCAAAACATAAATCTGAAATACCTTTCGTGTCAGCTCAACTAACTCAATTTTTTTTTTTTTTACACACCTGATTTTATGCCATCTGTAAAAGGGCAGAATGAAGATCACCAAGGAAATTATATTTCTCAGTTTTCTGACTTTTACTAAATACTCACACTTTAAATACTGTAAACAGAAGATTTATTGCATGAAACAAAAGAAGTTGTACCTAAAGGTTTGTTCTTTTCATTACAAGACTAAACTCTTCCATACTACAAAGCAGGTACATAGCTCCATTTTTGTCACGCGTTCCCTAAGTTGTAATAATAACATTATTTACTTAGAATATTATAAACATAAGCTTCAGTAAGCATACACATGCATCAGTTCATTTTAATTCACTTTCAGCTTCAACTTTCCAAAAGACAAATACTTGCTGTCTACCGCCAGCTCTGAATATCACAGCTGGGAATCACACACTAAGCCCTTCCCTGGGACTATGATACCACAAACAGCTTCCACCCTCTGCAACCCCGAATGATGACACTTCCTCTGTTTTCTAAAAATCAATAAGTGATAGGCTACCTTCAGATACTCCCATATAACCTTGATCTTAATTAGAGCTACACAGAGAATCCACTCTCTGCTCGTTTTCCCAGCTGGACGTACCAAGCGCTGCCACAAAAAAGGTAAGTTTTGAAGCCAGTCCCCAATTTCTGATGACCTAGTTCTCATACTCTCCCTTCAAGAAGGTCTGCGAAGGGCAAGCAAGAACAGAACACAGATTGTACCAGTCTCTTCCAACCAACGGACGTGGCAATCTTCTTTTTTTTTTTTTTTTTTTTTTTTTTTAAAAGAATACCATTTCTAAAAAGATACAAACTAGAAGTATAAACGTATAATCCATAACAATTTACTAATGTGTATATTTAAATACACTTGATTTCCTATACTGGTATGTTCTTTATTGGTCTTCAAGTTAGGAAGACATTTGAATACCTACAGTCAAAAAAATCAACTTTCTCATTTTTTGCTGAAGCAATGGGTTTTCTGGCTATCTGCTGGTGGGGCACACCGAGTCGTTTCTTGATCTGTCTGCCAGCACTGCCTAAACCCATCTGATCAAAATGATTTATTTAACATATTTACAGCGTGCAAACATATCTTCTGTTAACTCTTAAAAAAATAACTTCTAGTTGCGCTGAACCAACAAGGACTCCGACTATGCCCCGGCAGGAACGCTGTTCCACGAATATTCCAAGCCTAAAGGCTGAAATCTCAACTCTTCCGTGTTTCCTCTATCTCATCAAGGTCAAACACGCTGTTCTCCCTTAGTTCTTCCAGTTCTCCTAGCTACCTTGTCATGTCACCAAGGCTTCATGTGAGCTCCCTCTCATGGACTCCTCTCCTTTGCTGCCCCGTGATTTGTAATATGATAGGGTTTAATTTGTTCTATATTAACTTTCTGGTTTAAAGTGCAATCCAGGAAAGAATGCACCAAGGAGTCTGTACGTGTTCTCGAACAGCACTGTGGTGCTTGTGAGCTCATTTTTCAGCAGTTGTTTTCTCTTTCTCTTTTACCTAGCTCAGAACAGCCTGGGAGCGCTTCACTCACCTTCCCTCTACTGCCTGGGCTTTCCTTACTATGACAACTACTATTTGAAACGGGGGTGGGAAATCAGCGTTGCAAATTGCTGTTTATCTAGCTCACTATGATTTCCTAAAGATCTTTGTCTGAGCTTAAGCATAGCCATGTAAATAAACAGTTCACAGTGCACTCTTAGTCCCAACATACACCAACAAATACCAGTCTGGTGTTCTGCTATGTCCTTCCAGCAGCAGAGAAAAGAATCCTATGTTTCCTCTCACCCTTGAGAGAGCACCTCTGTCAGAAATAAAACAGAATGGGAATTGTCTTCATCCACTTTCACAAAGAGGCTGTTTTTCAATACTATAAGAAAATTGGTCTTGCATTGCTCCCCTCCTCCCCAAGAAAAGCGATCATTAGCATTCACTAATTCACAATTCACTGTTATTTGGCCAGAACAGAAAATCCAAAAACGCCTGAAGTAACAGAATGACTGGAAGAGCAACAGCAGAATTAACACACACTAGAGCAAACTTTCAAAAGAGGATAGCGCTCAGATACAATTGAGATGGCAACCACATGGTATAAACGTTCACCTTTTGGCAACGTGACCTTAAATCTGAATCTAAACATGCTATATAGACTAGCTATATGAAAGGTGTAAATAAATATTATTCTTAGTTTTAGTTTTGGGAAATTAACAGGGCATTTTTCTACACAAACTCACAAATTCAGAGCCTTGCAATAAAATAGAGACATTCATTACGGTTAACTCTAGTTCTTGAGACATGACTTTTTCAAGTAGTCTCTTGACTCATCAAAAGTCCAGCTTTCTTGGAAATAAATATTTAAGTAACTAGGACGTAGCTGACCGTAAGTCTCGAGAAAACGTCAATATTTTCAAAGCAAGCTTGCAACTGGTTTCCAAGACATGTTCTTGAGAGTTTGTATTATGGCTCAGGGTTCCGACTACAAATATAAACCTAACGAGGCCTAACCAATAATCCACTGTACCAAAGACAGCGCAAGATTAGCTGTTGCAATTCATTCAGAAACGTATCAGAACTCTGCCTTCCTGTTTAGGAGGTGAAGCTTATCATACTTTCCCCCCCTTATTTCCCAAAAGTTTCTATTCTTACATTTACTCATCTTTTTCAAGCTCTTCCCAGACAAAAATGAACCATGCCATCCAACAGCTAAGTATTTCTACCATTAATTCAGGAGTGCTATTAAAAAAACCAACAAGATCAAATATTATTTGTCTAATCCCATAGTACCGACCCCCACCTTGACCCCAATATTACAATTAAGAAACTGTAGTATTACAATAAACCTACCATACAGCTACAGCATTGGAATTATTTACTCCACCTAATGAGATCAGAATCAGAGAACAATCCACATAAGCAAGTCCAACAGTGTTTGGCCTCAAAAGGACGCTCCCAAATTTCTGAATATAGATAGTTTCCCATCAGGATCATATGGAAATTAAAGTACTTACGCTTCCTTTATATTAAAAGTGGTATATAACAATAATTACCTGATTAAAATTTTTGAAATTGAACTCTTTGTAGATGGCATCTCTTTCACCTAACTCAGACCAGCCTGAAGCTTTAAGATCAAGTAAAACTTGGTTCCTTTCCTCTGTTGTCAACCAGTGAGACTGCGAAGACTATTAAGGGGAAAAAGAAGAAAAAAAAAGAAACATTCCACAAGTGAGGCTGAGGTTCTCTTTTATACAACAAGAAGAAAACCACATGTATTGTATTGTTATGTATTGCAGAAATGTAAAAGTTCAAGAAACAAGAGGTGGAAAATTCACTATATGGTTTGTTACTTTTTAGAATTTCACAGATCAGCATAATTCACATTACTCAAAACCACCAAGAAACATCGTTTCTGTTTGGTCCATTAAGTTTGGCTATATGTTTTCACATAGCGTTATAGAGGAGTGATAGACTCTTTTATGAGACCAAACATGGACACCAGCATACTTGTATCCTATACTTTGTTCATCTGATTTATCCAGATGCTATGACACTTGAATTCATTTCCATACATAGCAAAATGCATGTAGTTAAGAGACTGCATATATTATGCACTAAATGTACAATTACATGAGGCTAGAAGAGATATATCAGGGAAATATCTGTATTTTGAAACAGAGAAACAGCATATAAAATGAGATTGTACTACAGGTAACTTGTATTTTACTCTTCCTAAGGAATTAAGAATAGATTTACAAATAGCAAGCATTGCAGAAGTCTAAAAGCAATAGAAAGGTTTTTTTCACTGACAAAACAAAAAAAAAAGAATATACAAACACATGCAGTCATAAGTTATTGATACAAGCACTTGAGTCTACAAAGCACTTAAACATATGTCCAATTTTCAGCAAAATGAGTCCTTCTAAACCCAATGGGAGCACAGACTTAACGGATTACACTACCTGCTTAAATATCTAAATCGGTGCTTAAAAAAGTAGGCCTGAAGACAGAAAGGTCTACAGGTTATTTGGAAGAGGTTTGATATTTTTCCTAGAAACTGAGATTAAATGTATGAGTGACTAATTACAGACTGTCTATTCTAACAGACTGGTCTCAAATTCACTTTATAAATGCAATAATTTAACAGGAAGAAGTTTTCTCCCCAGTAGAGCAAAATTCAGTTTGCTTTAGCCTTTATAAATATTCATAGGCTATCACAATTAGGTGAAAACTTACTGAAAGCCGCTGAGCAACTTTGCACCAGGACTTCAAATAACGCGCTGAAGGTCTGCAAGTATCTAAAAGCAAAGCTCTTCCGTTGGAAGTTTTTTTTTTTTGCTTTTTTTTTTTTTGGCAGTTACACGCGCAGTTATTTCCTTACAGGAGTGCCAGTCTTTAACCTCCAGCCACTTTCTTGTGCCCTGCACTTACAGACTCATTCGACAGCGCGAAGGCGTACAACGAGCGTTTCCGAGCAGGCAGCGCGATGCGCAGGCAGGTCTGCGGCCGCGGCTTTGCTGCCATCCCTCTGCCACCAGGTGGTGCTGCGTGCCAAACCAGAGCGCAAGCTCCTGCTCCCGGTGCTGGCCGAGGCCAGGCCTTTGAGGCTGCTCTTCACCACCAGGCGTTCGCCCCTGAGAGGACAACAGCAAAGGCGCAGGCATCGCTGAGGAGCGACCTGCCGAGGCCTCGGTGATGTCCAAGAGGCAAAATTTTCACCAGTAATAAGGGACCCAAAAAAAAAATAAATAAATAAATAAAAGCAGTCTGAAGTCACTCCAACAGCGTCGCTACAATTGTTCGGGTTCAATAGGATATATATCGCTCTAGCACGTGGGCTTTACAGTCCCCACACCGAACTAATTTAGGACGGCTGCTCTTCAGAATAAAACTCGCGATGCGCAAGAATAAAGAAGCAGCTGTTCACCGGCTAGTTTGCTACGACAACACCTTGTGGGTTTGAATTTCTTTTCGCCTTTTCCCCAATCACGTGCAAATACTGCCACAGTTAACAGCAGCCCTCACATTTATTATTTTATCCGCCAAGAGGCGAAACGAGTAGGATGATTTACGAAAGCTCTGGGCGGTTTTGGTTTAGACAGCAGAGCCCAGGATTTGGACCAGGAGTCAGTACAAAGTTCGTTCTCCCGGTTGTCAGCAGAGATGTTGTTTGGTTAGTTTTAAACACGCTTCAGTTGCCTTCCTGAGGCCTTATTTCGGCCACAGAAGCCACAGGGACAACGCCGTGATTTCCAGTTAGATCACACGTTCCTTCGCGTAAACGCGAGGACGGAGTCTGACACAGGACCGGGGGCACAGCAAGCACAGCACCTCGGTTAGGCGTAAACCGTGAAGGCCGTGCTCCGCGTTACTCCCTCAAGCGCGTCACAACCACGTTCGGAGATTTCAGCAAACGCAGTAGGAAGTAACGTCAATTAAAAGAAGAAAAAGAAAGTATGAGGTGCCACGTGCGTTTTCAGGGTAACGCCTCCGTAGGGGCCGCGTAACGGAGCATAGCCGACCAGGTCGGGGAGCGCAGCCGGCCGGCAGGGACGGCGGCCGCGGCCCACCGGGCACCCGCCCCACGGCTCCGACGGGTAACGTTCACCTGAAAGGGGCTCGGGGAGCAGAGAACGAAAAAATGAAGTTAGTTGCTGAGAGGTTAGCACAGGATATGGGGCGTTTGAGGGGCAGCGG